ATATAATTTATGTATACCAACTAAAAAAAGTAAACAATAAATCAGGCCATTTATTTATATTAAGGTCCTAAAAATCACAACTTAATATTTATTATATGCTTATTGGGCCCGTGTACACCATGGGCTATTATCTATTTAAATGAGATAAGTATTGATTTAATTATTAATGTAATAATTCTAATAATATAAGTAATAAATTGTATCATTTGGCCAAATATATTTTAACTAAATAAAATGACATTTATTTTTTAAGGAAGGGGATATAATCTAATTAAAACTATTTGCATGTGAAATAAATAGAAAAAGAGGACTCGTGTTCTTCGGTTTTACGTCAGATCAGACTCTATTTTACTCAGGGAAATAGTTTACTGAAATAAGGATCTTAATGTTACTTTTATATGATTATAGAGATATATATACTAAAGTTAGGATGATTTTAGCTTCAATTATTGATTATGAAATTTTATACCACTACTACTATTACTTTATAGTGGGGAAATTTTTAAAAATTGAATGATGGGAAGAAATTTATGCTTAAAAAGAGAACTTTAGAAACCTTAAATGATGGGAACAAATGTTAATCATACAATTTAAGTTAATACGGATCAAATTAAAGTATATTATTTGTGTGAAATTTTTCTTCCTAAGCCGAGGGTCTATTGGAAACAACTTCTCTACCTGCATTAGGTAGGGGTAAGGTCTGCGTACAGACTACCATTCCGAGACCCCACATGTTAGGATCAAACTGGGTTAGTTGTTGTTGTTGTTGTTGTTGTTGTATTTGTGTGAAATTTATGAGACTAAAGTACCAATTATTAGTCCAAAAAAAATCGCATATTTCTAATACTCCCTAGTCATGAGATTTCTACAATGATACTCATGGATTACCAATTTCACATACTAGCAGAAGTGTATAAATCCTTACATTTCACACACTTGTTTTTTCAACCGTGCCAAAACACTCTTTTCTTTAATTCCCCAAATAAAGTCATTCCCATCATCTGAAAAAATGGATCCTCTTGCTACAATTGTCTTTAAACTTTATTCATGTAACGACCCGACCGGTCGTTTTGAGCTTTTGCACTTCGCTCGCCAGTTCTCGGGCATGACTTATCCCGTGTGGTGTATTATGACTTATGTAAATCGTTGGTGTTGGGTTTCAGTTTAATCAGAATGAATTTGGAAGAATAGTCTCAATTGAAAGATTAAAATTTGAAAGGTTTGACCAAGATTTGACTTGTATGTATTTGATCTCGGATTGGAATTTTTATGGTTTGGTTAGCTCTGTTAGGTGATTGGTGACTTAGGAGTACGATAGGAATGAGTTTTGGAGTTGTAGAGAAGATTTAGGCTTGAGTTGGCAAAGTTGATATTTTGGCGATTTCCGGTTGATAGGCGAGATTTTCATATATGGGTCGGAATAGAATTCCGAGAGTTGCAGTAGCTTCGTTGTGTCATTTGGGATGTGTGTGCAAAATTTCAGGTCATTCGGCCGAGATTTGATAGACTTTTTTATCGAAAGCATAATTTAAGAGTTCTTGGAGTTCTTAGGCTTGAATCCTATGTTAAATCGGTGATTTGATGTTGTTGTGAGCGTTCCGAAGTTTTGAACAAGTTTGAACGAAATCATGTGATGTGTTGGTACAATTGGTTTGAAGTTCCGGGTAGGTTCCGGGATGTTTTAGGCCGAAAATCATAGCTGTAGCAGGTCCAGAAGGGTTGCAGGCCTCGGAACCCACCCGGGCGGTCCGCACAAAAAGAAGTGTGGCCGCGGTATGTTCTGTGCAGACCACAAAAAATGAAGTGCGGCCGCGGTAGGTGCTGTGCGGACCGCACAAAATGCAGTGCGGCAGCGGTGGAGAACATTTCACTGATCCTACTTCGGAAGCTCATATCTTTTGATCTACAAAGAATTTTGAGATAATTCAAAAATGAAAGTTGTAGCCCATCATGTCTAGTTTCCAGAAAGGTAAAGATATTGCAATTTGGACATCTGTAGCGAAAGTTATGGCCAAAATACTAAAGTATGTCACTGTAGAGGAAAGCTTGTGCGGCCGCAATCGTTTTTGTGCGGACCGCACTGGTTTTGTGCGGACCGCGGTCGATTTTGTGCAGTCCGCAGAGGTGAAAATCTGTGGGGTACTCTATATATATGAGGTTTTGGGTTTTATTTAATATTTTGACCTAGAGAGCTCGGATTTTGGCGATTTTTCGAAGGTTTTTCAAGAGATTCATTGGGGTAAGTGATTCTAACTCAGATTTGGCTAGAGTACATGAATCTATCATTGAATTCATCATTTAATTCGTGATTTGGGACGGAATTTGGGAAGAAAATTTGTGGAATCTTCTAAAAATATAAAATGATGATTTGAAGGACCAAATGGTACCAGAATTGGATAATTTTGGTATGGTTAGACTCGTGAGGGTATGAGAATTCTGAAAATATAAATTTTACCCGATTCCGAGACGTGGGCCCGAGGCTCGAGTTTTGGTAATTTCAGGAAATCGCGCCCTTTGTTGATTGTTTTCGCTTGGGCTTTGTTCCCTTAGCATATTGTGACGTATTCGTTCTGATTTTGGATAGATTCAACATTTTGGAGGTCGATTCGAGGGGCAAAGGCGTCGCGAGTTAGAGATTTAGCTGGTTTTGAGGTGAGTAATGATTGTAAATGATACTATGAGGGTTTGAAACCCCGAATTGCACATCGTAGTGGTATATTGAGGTGAGGCACACGCTCGATGACGAGCGTGGGGTCGTGTACTATTGGGGATTGTGACTTGGTCCATCCCGATTGATGATTTTACCGCGTATTTGACTGAAACTTATTTGCTATCATCATGATTTGGGCTGATTGTCATATTTGGGATTCGTGCCAACTATTTGAACCATTCGGGGATTTTTATTACTATTTCCTCACTATTTTGGTTTATTAATTGAACTCAGTCATGTTATTTTCCACTGTTTTACTACTCAGCCATTTTTACTCTGTTTTGAGACTTAAATGATATTTTAAATGATGTTTTGGGCTGAGAGATATTGTTTTACTAATGCCCGAGGGGCTTGTGAGTATTGTTTTGATTGAGTAAGGCTGAGGGTCTAGTTGTGAGGAAACACTGATACTGATTTGAAGCCGAGAGCCTGAGATATGTACGCCACGAGGTGGCTTGTTGATATTGTTTATGAGGCTGAGGGCCTGAGATATATACGCCACGAGGTGGCTTGACTAATATGAGGCTGAGGGCCTGAGATATATACGCCACGAGGTGGCTTGACTGATATGAGGCTGAGGGCCTAGATTTGATGCCACGAAATGGCTTGATATTGCGTTTGGGCCGTAAGGGGCCCCTCCCGGAGTCTGTACACCCACGGTGAGCGCGAGTACCCATTGTGATGTGAGATATAGCCCGAGGGGCTGATATCATTCTATGTGATAGCCCGAGGGGCTGGTATTGTTCTATGTGGTTGCCCGAGGGGCTGGTACCATTCTATGTGATTGCCCGAGGGGCTGGTATTGTTCTGAGGTATTGCCCGAGGGGCAGAGTTATTGACATTGAGCCCGAGGGGCAAACCTTTATGCGTTTATCTTTCATATTTACATGTCATTTACTTGTTAAACTATGTTATTTGTGCCCGAGAGGCGGATTTCTGTGCTTATCTGCACTAACTGTTTTACATTCATTTGCGTACGGTTGACAAAACCATTTTCAAAGAAGTTTAAACTGAGCTAAGATGTTTAAAGAGGTTTTACAGCTTCACTGCTTTCCTACTGGTTTTTGAATTGCTTCTATACAACATCTTGATATGCTTTACGTGATTTTTTGCCTTCAGTCTTTATTTACATTTGTTACTCACTGAGTTGGAGTACGCACTTTACTCTCTGCACCTTGTGTGCAGATTCAGGTATCTATACACCCGGTAGCGAATTTTGGCTGATCGAAGGCAGAGTCATCGGAGTTTAGCAAGGTAGATACCGGCGTTAGTCAGAAAATTCACCTGTAGTCAGAAAATTCATAGTCATTCAAACTTTAAAAATGAAATCTTGACGGGAAACACAAAAGTCCCCCATAGTTAGTTTTCTAGCACGCGAATTTGAATTACTTTGATTAGTAAATTTCGAACACCGAATGATTAAACCAAAAAAGATTTTAACTGCTTAAATGCTCTCTTATAAGTACAGTAAATAAGTAAAAATTAAACCATTTTCAGGACATGCTAGACTTTTTTTTTTGGTTTCTCGTCATGTGTCGGTATCCATATTAGATCCAGATTATATTTTAATTCGAACCGCGTTAAGCCCATTTATAGGAGAAGCACTCCATAACATGATATTTTTTTTCATATCCAGGCTCGAACTCGATTCACACGAAAACGAAAAGGCAAAAAGACAACATTGAATATTTCTTTTTTCTAGACTACTTAACCACCATTTCCCAACCAAAAGTAACCATTGTTAATTTGTTATTTTCTCAAACATAAACCAAAACACCTCCTCTTTATACCTCTGCTCCCTCTTGCTGGGTATTTTTCTCACTCCTCTGCTCTGTCCATTGTTATTTTCTGCTGGGTATTTTTCTCACTCCTCTGCTCTGTCTATTGTTATTTTTGCTGTGTATTCTTTTTCTCATCTTACGCTTCTTGTATTTATAATTTATTTCAGTCGTTGAGAATATGTTAGGTATTTGTAGATTTTGTTCTCTAGGTGTTTGACAAAACTATTCAATGAATCAGGTTGTATTAGATTTCTTATGGACGCTCCTGCCTTTTTCTCTGATTTCATTCTTTGGTTGCATTTTGAGTAAGGGCTTTCGTGTAAGAAAGGAATAAATCAGCAGATGACTAATTCAAACACTTCAAATTCCCGCTCCTAAACAAAGAAGAAAGAGGAAAGTATTACTGGTACCAATATAAATCTTTTATCAATTCTTCGAAATCTAGAAAATTTGATCCTTCTTGGTTTTGATTTTCGGATTTTGTTCCTTACTATACAAACTATTATAACCTATCTCTGATTCTTATATGGAAGAAGGGCTTTTTGTTGGGAAAATAAAGGAAGTTTGATAGTATCTAATTGAGTAAGGCTGCCATGTACTTTTTAGTCCGTAATTTTCAATTGGACAATAATTCTGATTCTTCTTTTTATTTAGTCTTTTTGGTTTCTTCCGCATGCCTGAAGTTAAATTGCTATATATAGGTTTACCAAATAGGCCATACAACAATGCTTTTCTTCTCGTATATCAATCGCTCTCGAACTGCTTCCAACCAGGTTGCTTGGATTTTATTTTTATTTTGATTCCCTGACTGTTCTTTTTACTATCCTTTTTTGTAATTTTCTGTAATTCCTTTAGTTTTCCTGGTGTACGATGGCGAAGGAATGTACTACAAGTTTCTAAGAGTTTGTCTGAAAAAGAAGGGTTGAAACTAATGGCTTAGGCTGAAGACAATGAGGATAATTTAAAAGGCCAAAATCGTGTGAAGTACTTCCTTGCTCCTTAATGATTTTTAGAGTTTCTTTAATTCAAGCTATTTCACTTTCATTTTGATTTGCCAAGACTTACTCTACTTTTCTCTTCGATATGTACATTATTTGTGTGCATGTGATTAACGTTTTTTCTCATTAAGTTTTATTTTTTCCTGGTCTGCAGATGTGAATATCAATTAGTCGAGTGGCTTGGTGCAGAAAGCTAATCCTTGAAATTCATCTAACCAACTAATTTCAATGCATTATAGCAAGGTAAATTTGACACTTAATGGTTTTTTTATATATATTAGAATGAATCAATATTTGCTGCTACTTTTTTAATTTGAAATTAAAATTTCTATATTGAATTAAGCATCCGCATTTATTTTACACACCAACTGAACTGGATACTACCATTCGATCATGGGGGAGTAAAGAACTAGAGTTAGCATTTGTAATTGTTTTAGACATCGATTGAAATGATTTCCCCATTAAAAAGGATTAAAATTGTGTTTACCAATACTTAGTATTTAAATGAATACTATTTTACCTATGTTCTCTGGTGTTTGCATATTGTGATATATTCAGATTTTCTTGAGTGATGATTAGTATGTTACCAACAAATATTCGGATTTCTTATAGGTCGGTACTATATTCACCTATCTTTGTACTGTCAATAAAATACTTTTTTACTTTCTGAACTTTCTGTTGTATCATTCACACCACTGCTGGTTTTTTCTATGTTTATCTTGACCACTATTGGATCTTGTTATGCTTTTGATTAATAATTTTTTCTTTCTAAGTTTCTTGTTGGTAGAACATCAAAAGTTTACACTGTTATCCGTTTTCTTAAGCAATATTTATTTCAGTATTGAATTTTTATCCCTTCATTATATCTTCATATATCATCTGAGGCTTAGTGATAATGCAGGGGACTTATAGCTTATGCACTTGATAGGTTTTAAATAATAAAACTCTAGAATGTACGTTATTCCGACACCGAATGGGAAAATTGAATTACCTGGTAAAGGTGGATTCCTAAGGCAGTTCACAAACAAAACATATATGTTGGAATGCCTTAGTATAACTGCCTGTTGCCACATAGAATTGCTTTATAGAGAGTATTGTTTCTCCAACTCAATTGTGTAGGTTGTTGCGCTAATCTTGAGAATGCTTAGTACATGAGAAAGCTTTTGATCATTACAATGAAATTACCTCTCCGTCAACTTGATTGAAGAGTCAAGACTCAAGAGGATGTCTATATATTTCATTTCTGCTAATGGAGAAAGTGTTGTAAACTTTTTATCTTGACATACTTTCGGAGGCTATAACCTGATTATTAATCTTCTTTTATTTTGTGGCAGCCAACAGGCACCAGTAGTCTAGGATGGGAAATTGCAGCATCACTTAGACAACATCATCGTCATTTACTTGCGAAGAATGGCGGCTCTCAGTCGCTTAAATCTCCTGAAAGTTACTTTAACTCAATGGAGGTAACTTATTGGCACTAGAAGTTTTAACTTGTTTCAACACCTTTCAAAAGCAACTGCAACATCATCAGCTACCGCCTAAATAGCCAAGTCGTGCAACCTCCCTTAAATTTGTCACTGTGTAGTCTGTCATACTGCTTATCTCCAAAAACTATTCAAAACTGACAGCTCTTTCCGGAAAACCCATTAGAAAGTAATTTGATGGTAATTAATATGAGTTTAGGCTACAAAAAAGTATCATTTCATGACCTTAAGAAATTGCATTATAGATTTACTTGGTTCATACTACTCTATGGTATACATTGGTAGAATACTTAATATAGATTTCGGACCTTAAGGTGCAAGTGCATTACATTATATAGATAATGGAGTCATTTATTCCCTAATTGTTTCCCAGTTCTTTATGTGCTTCTCTTATCGATGAAGTTCATTTGCTTGTTGATGTTGATGTGATTTAAAAGCTTGGTACTTGCTGAAAATTCTCCTTTTCAAGTCGATTCTTGCTTAACCTCATATCTCCAAAATTTTCTATGTAAAATACAATTCATGGCACGGAAATCTAAGTGTTACTGCTGATAATATATAGTTATGACATATTCTTGCTGCTTATCAAGAACTTCACCTTTGTTCTGCTGTTTGGCATGTACTTTTTTTTTTATTTTCTAGAGTTTCTTTGCAGTGCTAAGGATAGTAAACAACCTCCTTATTATGAAAATCTTCTCAAATAAGTTTAACTTGTTATAGTGCTATCTAGAATTTTGTTAGAAAACTAAGAGGTATGAATGTCAAAAGAATGTAGATTTTTCCTTTTGCATATGATGCTAGAGACAGAAAAATAGTAAAGTTCACCAAATTTTTTCATAGTGTTTATGTTATCTTTGACAGGTAAAATGGGATGAGTACTTTGTGCAGCTTTTTACTTCTTTTTTATGGCTGTTGGAGCTTCTGAAAAGGCTTTTAATATGATTTGGTTATTATTCAAGCTGCTGTAATTCTAATTAACTTTCACTTTTTCTATATCTTTTATTTATCTACTAGTTTCTGCATACGTGCGTTGCACGTGTATCCCATGTATATTTAAAAACAAGAAAATTTGTCCGCGCTTCGCGCGGTCGTAAAAGACCTCATTGAACTCACAAAATACTCTTTTCCCACTTTTCGAATATATTAAAAATAAGAAAGAAATAAGTTCTCATAAAAACTTATTTATCTAATTAAAGAAATTCCTTCTAAAACGTAAAGCATCTCGTGGCGTGAATGTTACGCACATATCTTAAGGAACTCGATTGAATGATCGTAGAAGTATTACTTTTCGATCTTTTTTGTCTTTGCTCTATTTTATTATTCTTCATCAATAAAATTACTTCTTAAATACATTTTAGCACATTACTTCTAAAATGTGCTCCAACAGTATGATGATTGATCTATGGCCTTGGAAACTAGTATGGAAGACAAAACTGCCACCCAAAGTCTGCTGCTTCAGCTGGTTGGCCTTAAAGGATGCATGCCTCACCCAAGACAACCTCACCAGAAGAAATTTTCCACTGGCCAACAGGTGTTACATGTGTCAAGTGAACTCAGAATGTGTTAACCATCTTCTCCTACATTGTTCAGTAGCCACAGACATATGGAACATGTTTCTTAGTATTTTTGGTCTACACTGGACTATGCCATTCAATGCCAGAGAGGCATATGTGAGCTGGAGCTCAAGGGAAGTTGACAGAACCATCAAGAATGTCTGGAATATGGTACCTGCAAGCATTTTTTGGTGTATCTGGGTCGAAAGGAATAGTAGATGTTTTGATGGATTATCAACTTCAATAGGTTGCTTAAAAAGGCTAGATGTTTGGTTAATTTGTTTCACTGGGCTAACCTTACTACTGTAAACAACTCTGATGTTTTTTTGGATTTGTCAGCTCTTTAGTTTTGTAGCACTCAACTGTAAATGAGTTGTCAAACTCACTTCTTTTGTAACTTTTGCATCTTCCTGATGCATTTTATGATATATTCTACTTACTTCATAAAAAAAAAATTGTTAATTTATTTTGTATAAATCAAGTAGTAGGTTATTCTATTTTTTCCATTAAAATTATAAAACCTTCAAATTCACGTGTGATGTACATCATATTCACTTTCTCAAGAACTTTACTGATATGAAGTTTTCCCAAAATCAACTTCAATTAAGATTAATGATGAGTATACATAGAGGGTGGAGATGATCTAAACTTGTATCTGAGTCAAATATGACTTATTTTTTGAGAATATCTACAATTCAGTACTTAAGTTTTCAAGTGACAATATTATATTTTTTTAAGCTTTAAATCACCCTATGAAACAAAAATAATATTATTGAAGTTACTTCACATTCACGTTTTCAAGAACTTAATTGATATGAAGTTTTTCTAAAATCAATTACGAACATACACAAGCCGGAGATCTAAACTTTTATTTGAGTAACATTTGGTTCATTTTTTATAATATTTACATATCAATTTTACCACAATTTGCAAGTGACGATATTATGGCTTACCCTTTTCAAGTATTAATTACCTATCAAAACAAAGATAATATTTAAAAAACAATCTAAAAATTCAGAGAAGAAAATATACATACTTCATGCACCACTTACATATGAAAATACTCTGTAAACAACTTTGTTGACTCTTAAGAGTAGAATTACTCTCCGATGAAAACTTGCCAGGAATATATATTGCAACCATTTTTGTAGTTTTGTTAAATACATGAACAAATAATTTTTGTATCATATGCCGAGCTCTTCAATTCTGCTTGTGCTTAATTCTCAATAGTGTTGAAATACTCAAAATCAAAATCAAGATAAGCATATCCAAAAATCAGTCTGCAAGTACACAAAACAAATTTGTCTAAGTAGAAACAGCAACAAAAAATACAAAAAGGAAGAAAACGAAGAAAAAGGAAAAAAACGAAAAAAAGAGAGATTTTATGAAAAGAAATAATTGACCACAATAAGGAAAGAATAAGTAGGGTACATATGATCTTGCAGATTTTGTAGACATGAAATAAGGAAATACAATTAATAAAATTGAATGTTCACGCCCCACGAAGTAAGAAACGGAAGAGAAATTTTAGGAAAGAAATAATAAATAATGGTAATAATGAGGAATGAATAAGTAAGATATATTTAATTCTCGGTAATTTTTTAGACTTGGAGTACGGGGAAAAGTTCAAAAATTTGAGAAAATAGGTAAATAGAGATTCTTGCCTATGAGACATGCCACACCAGCTCTCAATTTCCCTCTTTTATATTATATATTGATAATTAAAACATATCTTTAAAATATGTGATTGAACTATGTATTAAAAATACACAAAAGAGTAATCTTTTTTTTTTGGTACATGATTAATTATTTATGATGCCCTCAAGATCCCATAAAAATATGTATAGACAAACACAATAAAAAATAAAGAGAGAACACTTTTTTTATCAGCAAAACCATAGGATAGGAGTTCTAAAGTTGAACGGCTCATCTTCCTTGAAGAAGAATGAATAGTAAACAAAATAATATCTAAAATAAGGTCAGGGAATCTAAATTTTCTAAACATTCATTAGTAAGTATATCATTCTTGAAATAAATGGATCAAAGCATGATTTTAATAGGTGCAACTTGGACCTCTATCTGAACTGCAAAAATAATTATTATGAATAAAAAACTTTGAACCAAGTACTAATCAAAAAAAGTGTGGAGACAATAAACACAATTACAACCAATAAGAAAAAGGTAAACACTTAGCGCGTTGGCTTGAGAAAACAAAAAAATTGCCTGGGTAGAAACAAAATGAGGGTAAAAAAACAAAAACTTATCTGGTTAGACAGTGAAAGAATGAGAGAAATAGAACATGCATGTCAAAATAGTTTATCCAAATTGTACTGCCTAATTTTGTCAAAGAAAAGCATGAGTTTGTTCTTCAACATGTGATATCTCCACCATCTGAAGAATTTGTGAAATTTCATCGTGACAAATCAATTATATTAATATACATTGAATTTGTACAACTTTTGCTGTAGAGTTTACTTATATATTCAAAAAGACTACATAATTAAGACTTACGAAACTGCCAACTTTTACTTATTTATGCGGAACAAAAAAGACTCATGATATGAATGTTATTTCTCACATGCGATGCATATATATCATAACTGTTGAAGATGAAAAGAACAAATAATCAAGGCTACATAATTAAGACTTACGAAACTGCCAACCTACAATAACTACGGATCAAAAGGCTGAAGTACAAAACTATTATAGCCGTGGAAAATGTAAGAGACAACAATACAATTAAGAATATTTAACTTGGGAAACTCATGGCTTGCAACAATGATAGAATAATGCTCCACATTCAGTTGATTAAAAGTAATAAAAAGTAATCATTTACGGGAAGATCCTTTTTCTCTTGCTTAATGGGAGGATATTTTAGAGATTAAATTTAGAGGGAAATTTGATCATTTAATTTCTAAAGAATAGTTTTGTAAAATAACTTTAACTAAAAATCTTTACACTTATAATAAAAATAATAAATATAAATATAAATATGAACATAAATATAAATATATGATATATGATTAATGTTGTGAATTTTTTAAAAGGGAATTAAATACAAAATATCATTTAATAGGAGGTAATTTTAATTTTAGGCAGAGGATAATTTGGTCATTTAGTTTTTGAAGGTTATTATAGTAAATTAACTTTACCTAAAGGTCTTCATAGTACGATCTATTTATTTATTTATTTTTCGGAAGAATTTATCATGCATGTTTGTCCGAGACAAAAGCACAGTTTTGTTTATGCATATGTAAAATAGTTTAAGTTGAAAGCAAAAGGTTTAGTTGAACTCACACTATTCCCCTCTGCTTGCAAATCGATAAAATAATAAATTCAAAAACTGATTCTCTTAAAACTAAATCCAAACATTCATCAAAAGAAAAAAAGAAAAGAAAATTATAACTTTTTTGACTTGTATAATTTGAACTGTGTTGGTAGAGAAGAACAAGGAGAAGTTACCTTTTGCCATTGGAGAAACAGAGAAGGGCCGGTGATGTGTGTTTAACCAAAAAATGAAATTTTTGTCAAAGCTAGAATTTAGAAGAACACGGGTTACTGATAATCAAAAGAGTGTATAAAAGGAAGTAATTTAGGTAGCAAGAGAGTAATCAAGAGAAAAACAATTAAACCAAAGTTTATATCAATTGTATTTTGTGTTCTCACAATTGATCAGATATCTCCCTTTTATAAATATCTTGGAGATATACGCTTTGCCCAAATCATAATGAGACTATTATGAGTAATTAAAGACATTGAATGCTACGTTACATAATCATTATATTCAATACAAATTCTCTAATGTATTCCACATTTAATGCTTATTAAATGTCGTATCTGCACTCTTTTCTATTGTCAGATTCATTCCTTTTGATTCTCGGACATAAATGACTTAGATAGGTACGGGTGCTGGGTTATTTG